TGATAACCATTGCATTTCATGTATATTATCTCTCCTTTACTGGCGGCTTGTATATTCCAACACTAGAACTGTATGGCTACGTCTAGACCGGCATGATTTTCCACAAATGCATTTGCAGACAAGAACGTCTAGATTGGCACGGACGCTTTTCACTTTTTGTGGAAAAGCGTCTGTGCCAATCTAGATGCGGTTTTGCGCAAGAAAGCCCCTTCGCCATTGGGGCTTTTTTGCGCAAAACAGTTTTTAGCTGTCTACACTGTCTACTCTTGCGCAAAAACCTTTCTGGAAAAGGGCTTTTGCCCGAACAGGAACGTCAAAGCATTTGAACAAGAAGCACTGATTTCGGACAGTAGAACGTCAGTGCTTTTGCGCAAAATCAAGCGGAAAAACTTGCCAGTCTAGACGCAGCCAAAATCTTCTGAACATTTGGTAGGATGTTCCAAACCTCCATTCTGAAAATTCAATACATCATGGAGCACAAATGCACTGCCACATAGAAATATCCCATTTGTTAATTTCAAATCACACTGTCCCAATGGGAAATGTCTCATTAAATCTGGATCAAGTGGCCATCAACCAGGACTTCCCTAAATCATACCAAATGCACATGAAGTCTTTCTCGATACAGTCAAATGCAATTTTTTTACTTACTCCTCATCTGCTATCCCCTATTCCTTGGTTGTAAATAATTGATCATATAGGCCTGAGCCTTGATGTCTAAAGTCAATGGGATTCACCACCAATGTCATCAAATCAAGAAGAAAACTATTCATGTTGGAGCCACTAGGCTTGTTCCTTCCCCCCACCCCTATATCACCTTCTAAGAAAATTGCAGAGGAATCAGCCAGAAACTCCAGCTGGTAAGAAAAGTAGGTTTATCAATTTTGATTGGACACATTCCTGGAGGTTTCATGTGATATTTAATGAAAGATTAATATCGAATTTTCGGAGGCTCCAGGACATTCCTAGAGGGTTGGCAACCATAAATGCAAGCCAAAGCAGCGATCTTGGGACATTCCAAGAACTTTTTATAGTTTTGATTAGATAGCCTGGCTGCTCCAACCTCCTCATCCCTCCAGAGTCTTTTCATCCTGAGCCTCTTCTTCCCTACCTTATCTCCTTTGTCCCTTTCCCTTCAGCTTATCTTCTCTTTGTTATTAAACCCTCCCCCCCCCCCCCAAAAAAAAAAAATCACAGCTCTAACATGCCATTTGCTGCTATCGCAGTCTTCATTCTGCTGATGTATTCTATGCATTCCTTCACTCTGTTATGTCTTGTCGATTTGGATTGTAAATCCTTTGGGGCATGTACTGTGCTGCTCTGTTAGTACTTGGTACAATAAAGAACTAGTCTTGATTGGCTCTTAGACACCAGGGTAATAAACAGAATTAAGAGTAAGTACTCATCAAAGGCTGGATCCTGTAAGGTCCTCGATTCCTATTCCCTTCAGCAGGCCGAGAAAGTGTTCTGCACCTTTCCGGATAGGCACCCTAAGTCTGACCCTCACCAATAAACCTTGCCATCATGCTTGAGGAATAAAAATGGGTGTGGGTTTACAAAATCAACCTGACAGTTTTTGTTAAAGGGAGGATTTATTTTGTCCCTTCCACGGTGGTGGGGAAAGGTTTGGGACTTGCCAGAAAGAACTGTCATGCAGACTCCATACCAGCCCTTTTGGGGCCAGAGAGAATGCCTTGAAACCCAGCCATTGCTAGTAGGATCAAGATAGCTAGAGTCAGATGAGTGAGAGAGAGAATGAAGATGCTGTTTAGAATATGCAAATGTCCGCTGTTCCAGACTATACCCAACACTTAAATGGTGCTGAATGGTAAGTGAAAGCCCTGAATACTGCAGACCAAATTCATCTCTGGACACAACTCCATTAGCCTCACTGGAGCTTGCATTAATTTACACCAGGGTAGAATCTATCCCTGTGTTTCCACAGGCCAGGCTTACAGAGGTCCTCCCAGACTCTACATTTAGGAGCTGGGACCTACAGAGATTTTCCCATGGGGCTGTCTCATCATTATCACTACAACTAACAGAAATTTGCAACCACAGACCCAGAGCAGCTATCAGTATCTCTTGTTTCAGAGTGTGACAGGAAAATAAGTTAACTAAGACACAGTCTGTATTTTTGTACTGTGTGTGGGCTTGTCATTTTTATTAAGACAAATTAAATCCTGTTCCCTCTCCCACTTACTTTAATGCAAGTTTTGCCACTGACCTCATTGGGAGCAGGATTGGGCCCTTCAGTTGGGTGAGCAAAATTATCTATCCCACAATTCTCAGGCTTGAACTGTCTCATTTTTCTCTTGCTTGAAACAGCCAACAGGACATACTAAGAAGCAGTTTCAGCCAACCTCAGAATGCACAAATGATAATGCACAAATGCACGTGATAAGCTCATAATGAGATGAGGTGACATCACAGTCAGTCTTACAAAGGGCGTTCTTAAAATTAAAGGAGACACTGTTAAGGGGGCAGTGGTAGGTTAAAAATGAGATATATGTTAAGAAATCCCTTACCTGTTTCTAATCATACCCTGGCATATTTGGTGATAAGCAAATCTTCTTAACATTTGTTAAGTTTTAATAATCTATTTGGTCACTTCTATGAATCTGCTAAACTCAGACAATAAAACAGGCTGTTATCAGGTTCATTTTAGTTTCTGCTGAATTCCTGGTCCTGCTCACGTTCTGGTTCTGATGTACTAAGTAAAGGCTGTCGTGTAGAATACAAATGTCACAAGGAAACATTTAAATTCACATGCATTTAGGAATTAATCCAAAGGCCCTGAAGTAAAGCTCCAATTGATTTAAAAAAAAGGAGCATTCCAGAACACAGACTGCTACACATATATTAACCAAATGACCCCCTTTCTTTAGTGGCTCCAGGTTAATTACAATCATAGTCTAGTTGAAGGTCTCTGTTTTGATATTCAAACTGCTTCCTGCAAATGGTCCTATGTGCCTGAGAGATCACAGTTCATGATCCTGAAAGCTGGACCTCGACTTCCTGCAGCTCCCCTTGGCTGCAAAGCACAAAACGGAGTGAATGGGAGCCACAAGGCTCTGTGGCTGCAGCACCAGTAAATAAACAAACTGGGGCGTCCAGTTAATGTGTTTCTGAAAGTGATTTCGCAGAACGCTTTCAGAAACACTGCTCTAGAAGGCTGACCCACACAAGGGGGTGGATGGGACACACACTTTGCCAGTGTGTTTCCTGGATATTTGTTGACAGCAGAGATATATTGAGATTCAGGAATCCTGAGTTCTATTTTAGGCTCTGGAGGGAAGTGTTCTGCCTGTTTTCACCAAGACTGACACTGTCTGCTCATGCCCTTCTACCTGTCCTGGTCCTGTCTCTCTCCTTTCTTGGCTCCTTATCTACCCAGGTCCAGCCTCCATAACTCTGGCTTCTCATCCCAGTCCCACTCACTTTTTATAGACTCATAAGACTGGAAGGGACCTCGAGAGGTCATCAAGTCCAGTCCTTTGCACTCATGACAGAACCAAGCATCATCTACACTAGTGGTGGGCAACCTGTGGCCCTTGGGCTGCATGCAGCCAATTGGGGATCTGTGTGGCCCATGAGACTTGAGTTTACTGTTGCCCATGGGCAGGGTTGCCAGATTCTGCTATTTTCTGTCTGCGTAGAATTTTTTTCGTGCTGGCATTACTAAAGTGAAGCAAAGGCATGTGAAGTTAGGTGATGTTTGCTTTTTTTGTAACAGTGTCACATTATTGACTCACATTTAGCTTGCCATCCACTATGGCTGCCCCATCCCTTTCTGCAGTACTCCTTCCTAGACCATCATTTCCTATTTTGTATGTGTGCAACTGATTGTTCCTTCCTAAGTGGAGTACTTTTCATTTGCCCTTATTGAAGTTCATCCTATGTTTACCTCAGACCATATATCCAGTTTGTTGAGATCACTTTGAATTAAAATTCTAAAAAGTACTTGAAACTCCTCCCATCTTGCTAGCATCCACAAACCCACCCAGTCTGAGTCTTCTACTCCAAATCATTTGTTTGACTCCCAATTTTCCCCTTTCCACAGCCAGTACCAAATGCCTATTATTTCCACCCACCCACCGCAACTTCTTGTCCACAGTCTCCATGCCTCCTCCTTTCCCTTCCCTTCTAGCTCTCTGACCAGTCTCATTCCCAGGACGACGACTCTAATCTCAGTGTAATCTGCTTACCCACCCACTTCCTGATTCCCTCAATTGTCTCCCCTTCCCGGTTTCCTTGTCCCAAACTCGCCCACACCTTGTCCACCCTCCCAGTCAACTAGTTCCTAATTCCCACTTCTTTCCTCTGCTCCCAGTCCCCCCCCACTTAGTCAGTTTCTCTCCCTCCACCTCTTTAGTCCCGTATCAGTGGGCTCCTTGTCCCGTTCTAGTCCCTCCCGCTATTCTAGCACTAGAAATTCTTAGAGAAAAAGTTCTTCAGCACTTTCTAACACGGGCACCACAACTTAGTTTCCCCTCATGTCATTCTGGGAAATGGTCTGGTGTTAAAATATTAAAAAGTGTTTTCAATGTATAAGGTAGGTCGCACGCAGTTGCTTGCTGTGTGAAAGGGGTCCCTAGCACAAACGTTTGGGAACCGCTGATGTAGACCTTTTTCCCCCTTATTCTCAGATGTCCCCTTAGTCTTATATTGGACCCTTAGTTTGCCGCCCGCCCGCCTTAGTTATAAATTCGACTATGCCTGTGACCCATAAAATTAATGGTGGGGTGAGGCGCCTCTGTGATTGGTTGCCCGCCGAGGGCTCCTCCCCTTCATATGACCGGCCTTGCGCTTTCACTGCGCCCGCCCGTTCGTCACGCAGAGCCCCAACGCTGGTGAGCATGGCGACGCGCTGTTCTTGGTCGCGGCCCCTCAGCCTTACCTGATAAATTCGACTATGCCTGTGACCCATAAAATTAATGGTGGGGTGAGGCGCCTCTGTGATTGGTTGCCCGCCGAGGGCTCCTCCCCTTCATATGACCGGCCTTGCGCTTTCACTGCGCCCGCCCGTTCGTCACGCAGAGCCCCAACGCTGGTGAGCATGGCGACGCGCTGTTCTTGGTCGCGGCCCCTCAGCCTTACCTGCGGCTGCCTCCTGCTCCTGGTGCTCGGCGGCCCCGGTGAGTGCTCGGCGGC